AAACAAACAAACAAAAAAACAATGGGGCAGTCCCAGAGAAATGATGGTCATTGGATGTTCAACTTTGTTTAGGGATAGCAATGTATCTATCTATACTGGACTTTTAAGGAACAACAAAACAATTCATGAGCTAAGTCAAATGCACAGTTCCTTTTAAAACAACTGGTTAGCAACTCATGGCTACATATTAGTTTGGATGAATCAAGCTACATCCTGCAAAACCATGTGTGCATGTAGATACAAACCATGTTCTGAGGACTAGAAGTGTTCTGTGATCTCTAAGTATGGATGCAATGGAGAAGAGGGGAGATCTATGGCTTAAAAAGGTTTGGAACTGCTGAATCCAAGTTAGTCAGGTTTCTTCACAGTAGGATCCTCTGAACATTTATCATGCCAATGGGCCTTGCAACTTTCCTGGGATTACAGTTTGCAGCATCTGATCTTATTTGACTTTGGAACCTCTTTTTTATTGGCATGCCAACAAGTCATGGAATACCAGTGTTCTGCAGAATTGGTTTGAGAAATCATATGCTATGCAAATTAGAACAGTTTATTTCAAGATTTCACCTGAAAGTAGTATAAACAAAACAAGCTTAGAAGAAAAAATAAATTGTAAAAAAGGGAAAATGTGGACTTTGATAAATTTCCCTAGTGATAGAATTCAAATCAATATATGAAAGAATTTGACATTAAGAATCAGAATAATTATTAAACTAGACTAAGTATAATAAAATGCTTTCTCACAAGTGGCAAGTGCAAAACCAATAATATATTAAATAAATTTGATTTATTTAAAAGAAACATTATTTTATTTTGCCCTTAGAAAGTTTTCAAGTTGTATGATTTTGGGGGATATAGAAAAGATAGATGATTGATAGCAATTTTATTTTTCCATTTTAGTAGCTGGTAAATAAAAAACCTATTAACCTAAATGAGGAATCATATTTTTTGTGTATACTAAGAAAACAGTAGTGGGTAAATTTCTAAGTGTTATGAAGGGAATTGTGGGTATTGTTCTTGCTGTTATTAATATGAGTTGAGTATGATATATCCAACAAAAATCCATTCTATTAATGACCATTAAATAAGGCCCCTATGGAATAAGGACGACCCATGGAAAATAGTTAGCAAGACTTTAATAAAGGTGTAAGAATCAGAAGTTCCCAGAATAAGGATTTTTTTATGTGGGTGGTAAATTATTTTTCCTCAAAGTCATGAGGTATGTATGTCCATCAATAAAACAGATACCTTGGGAATAAATTTTAAGGTGAGTAAAATATTTCATTCTGACCATAAAAGATTTCTTGTACTTATTTGTTAGAAATACCATACAAAACTCAATTTATTATTTTTTATTTTCGTAAACAATAATGTCTTTGTTCCTCTTTCTTCTTCCCTTTCCCATTTTACTCAGGACCCATTATTAGTGATGTTAAAAGATGGCAGGAAGGAGGAAAAAGAATTTTAAAATATAATGGAATAATTTGTCAGAAGGAATACATCCTGAATGCCCTGTAATTTCACTCTCAAGTAGGAATTTTAAAACTTCAGTGAGTGAATCTCTGTCTCCTGGAGAAAGGAGGTTTCCCTTCCTTAGTTACTCAGAGCTCCCGTCTGCCTTACACCAGATTATTCCTCATCGCTACTGCAACTGTTATGCTTCTAGTTGAAAAGACACTGGATTTATGTTGTACAGCATCTGCAAATGGGACAATGGAGTGTAAAGTTTTATTGATTGGATTCACAGGAAGCCTTCTGAATGCCACATGAGGCTTGTGGCTAGTGTTCCCCAGTCTCCCCAGCAAGTTGCAGCTGTGGGGATAGGATGGGCCACCTTGGGCAGGTTGCATTTCTCAACATCATTCAGCTTAGTTGTGGTGACATAGGCCAGGGGCATCTCAAGCTGTTTGGAGCTGTGCATTAACCACAAATGACAGACACTGTTGCCACCAGCTTCTGTTTCCCACCAGCAGAATCTTAATCACCCTTCTACTCCAGAGGAGACCACAGAGGTGAGGCCTGACTTGTATTTCATATTATAATGAAAGGATGGTTACATGCCAGCAGTATATTAAAACCATAAATACTATAAAAGATGATTTTGCATGCACTGTTTTCTCAGAGAAATCTTTTATTTTACCCCAGACTAGGTGAGGACCTTTGTTATATAATGCCCTGAATTCATCCTTTGTGGCACTCACAGCTGTTGTCATGAATTAATCCATTATTCGAGGAATTGTTTCTTACTGGTCCTCAAATATTGAATTTTAATTCCATAAGTATACAGATCTGTCTTTCTCCCCAGCACCCAGGGAAAAATTTGGCCATAGCCCTTCCCTTCCCTACCTTTCTCTCCCCTTCTCTATCCTCCCCCTTTTATTTATGAATAATTTAGTCCTAAAGCCATTAAGTGAGGCAGAATGGGGTAGATATCCATGGTTGAAAGGGGCGAGAGTGTAAAGTACCAGACCTGGATGTCAGAGCCTCACCAGGGTGAGGAGGGCATCCATGTCCTCATACAACCAAAGGATGGACTTATTTGACATGTGTCCCTGGAAATTCTTGGCCTATTCAGCCACTTTCATAAGGGGAGAGAGGGCCATCAAATTATGAGTGCAATTACACAAAACATCTGTTAGATATAATTTTTTCATCATTTCATCCAGTTCTTGTGGCATTGTAGAGACAGATTACTAGTTAATTTAGTTTGATGGCCAGTAGTGTCTATGCTAATTGAATTTTTGACTGGATATTTGGGAGTCATAGAAATATATGTATATTTGTGTGCTTGTAGAAAGATTATAGTCTTTGAAATCAGACACATTCTTCTGTAAGCCTCAGTTTCCTCATTCATAAAATAGTATTGATGATAAATTTGCTTATGGAGTTGTAGTGATTATATAAAATAATCTGCCCATATTCATTCATTATAGACTCTTGACATAAGATGCTCAAAGATATGGGTGCCACATAAATTTTTGAGCATAAGTGATATATTGAGTGAATATGAACCACCTTAATGATATTAATGTATCTGTGATGGTTATTGGTGACAAAGACACAGCTACTACTAATAAAACTGTGGTCTGTTTCCTACATTCCCAAACAAAGAAAATGCTTAATTTTAGTGAAGTTTGTGAGTATAATAATGCTAACCTTTTCTCATCTAAGTTCACAGATCTCTGAATCCTATCCTCTAATTTCTCCATGGAGTCCTATCCTACTCTAAGCCCCACTCTAAGATAACATCAACTATAGCAATCTTTCTATTCCTCTCATTTTCTCTGAAAGTAAGTAGAGTCTCTACATGATAGCTGTGGAACTTTCTGCCCTCTTTCATCTGAGGATTCTTAAAACAATGTTTACAGCCACCTGCTTGCCCTTCTATCATATATTTGATGTGCTGTGACCTAGAGGAACCTGTGTGTGCTTAAACTGGAGAAACCTTTCAAATGTCTAAAATATAGTTCCTCTGCTTGCTTATTGAGGATATGTGTGAGCCCAGCATCTCTTACATTTTCTAATTTCCATCACTGACCATATTGGCTAGGCTTGCTTCTAAGGAAACTAATGTAGCCATAGCCACTTGAGGTAAAAATATAAAATGAGCTTCCTTGCCTTCAGCAAGCTATTTGTCCTCTGAACTTTATTTAAACACCCCAACAGTTAAGGCATCTGTTTATTCATGTTAATTTCACTGGCTTTGGTCTTCCCAGCAGGGAAGGAGAGTTTCAACCTATGGGTAGGCCAGGTGAGAGAAGTAGCATGAGAGCTAGGCTGGGAAAGAAAAGCTCGCCACAGGCCCCATGGAAGAGGAAGATGGAAATGCAGGGGGGAAGGAAAACTGCAAAGCCCTGAAATGAGAACAGGCATTATTGTGCCTATTATCAGGATGCAGAAACCAATGAGGTGGAGAAATGAAGAATCTAGAAAGAAAATAAAAGCCCAGTTACTATGTACTATGTGTGTGTGTGTTGGGGGGGGGGGGGGAAAAGCTGCAAAAGTTGGAATAAATGTCTTCTTGTTTTATGCAT